ACTCGAATATAAAACAAATTAAAGTAACTGGTTTAGTTACATCTATAGTTAATTTGTTTGTTTCATTAATTGTATTTATCTTATTTAATTTTAGTAGTAATAATTTTCAATTTGTTCAAGAATATCATAAAGTAAGTAGTTTTGATTTCTATCTAGGTGTGGATGGTATATCTATATACTTTGTAATTTTAACTACTATACTAATGCCTATTGCACTGTTATCTAATTGAAATTCAATATCAGAAAATGTAAGATCATTTGTAATAATTATTTTATTACTAGAAACATTATTATTAGCAGTTTTCTTAGTATTAGATGTATTACTTTTCTATATCTTTTTTGAAAGTATATTACCCCCTTTATTCATATTAATAGGATTATTCGGTTCAAGTAATAAAGTTAGAGCTAGTTTCTACCTATTTTTATACACACTTTTTGGATCATTATTTTTATTATTATCTATTCTTGCAATGTCATCTATCATGGGAACTACTGATTTTGATGCATTGTATAAAACAAATTTTAACTATTATACTCAGTTATTTATATTTGTTGGTATATTTATAGCTTTTGCTGTTAAAACACCGATCTATTTCTTAAATACTTGATTATTAAAAGCTCACGTTGAGTCTCCACTATCTGGAAGTATTATATTAGCCGGTGTAGTGTTGAAATTAAGTCTTTATGGTATATTCAGGTTAATATTACCTTTACTACCTAAAGCCTCAATGTATTTCACTCCGCTTATATACGTTATATGTGTAATAACTATTATTTATGCTAGCTTTAGTACACTAAGAACTATAGACGTTAAAGAATTAATTGCATATAGTTCCGTAGCTCACGCTGCCGTTTACTTAATGGGATCATTTAGTAACTCTATTCAGGGTATTGAAGGTGCTATAGCTTTAGGTCTAGGTCATGGTTTCGTATCATCTGGGCTTTTCATTTGTGTGGGTGGTGTTCTGTATGACAGATCTCATACTAGATTAATTACTTACTACAGAGGTATAGCTCAGATAATGCCTTTATTCTCCGT